CGTCGCGCCGGCGCTCAAGGCCAAGCTCGCGGGCGCCGCCGCGGCGCCCTTCGACGGCATCGCGCTGGATACGCCGGCGCCGTCGGCGACGCGCGACGCGACGGACGGCGCGCTCGCCGAGGCCGTCGCGGCCAGGGCAGCAAAAGAGAGCGAAATTCCAAACTTCAAAGGCTCCGATCTCGGCCGTTTTCCACTCGTTTCGGCTGATTTTTGGACGAGCGATCATCTCTCGGAACGGTCTCGAAGCGTGGATGCTTTTTCCGGAACGCGCGCGCGCGGAACACTCACGTTGAAGCGACGTTGAATCACCCTTTTGCTGCCCAGGTCGCGGCGACGCTCGACCCGCGGCTCGGCGCGGGCGTCGCGCTCCTGGGCCGCGGCGTCGCGGTCGTCGACGGCGTCCTGACGGCGGGCGAGTGCGCCCGGCTCGTCGCGGCGCTCGAGGCGTCGGCGGAGGTGTCGTTCTGGGCCGAGGACGCGGGCGACCCCGAGCCGCGGAAGTTCCGGGACGCGGACACCGTCGAGGTCGCCTGCCCGGCCGTCGCCGCGGCGGCCTGGGAGCGCGCGGCGCCCTGCCTCTTCCCCATGCTGGACAGCGGCTTCGGCGCGCCGGCCGTCGCGGGCTTCGAGGCCGACGGGTCGCCGCCGTCCGTCGCGACGCGCGGCCTCTGGGCGCCCGCGGGCTTCAACGACGACTTCCTCCTCGCGACGTACCCGGCGGGCGGCGGCTCCGGCTTCGCGCCCCACAGCGACGGCACGACGACGCGGGGCCTCAACTGCCGGTCCTTCTACAGCGTCATCGTCTACCTCAACGAGCCGCCGGCGGGCGGCGGCACGCGGTTCTACCGGGACGCCGCGGCGAAGACGGGCCTCGTCGAGGCGGGCGGCCGCTGGACCGGCGACGCGGCGCTCGCGCTGGGCGACGTGGCGCCCCGGGCCGGGCGCGCGCTCGTCTTCGACCAGCGGCTCGTCCACGAGGGCGTCCCGCCCGTCGGAGACCGGAAGCACATCGTCCGCTCCGACGTGCTCTTCGAGCGCACACCGCCCATCTTCGACGCGCCGAAAGAGCGCGAGGCCTTCGCGACCTACGAGGCCGGCGTGCTCCTCTCCGAGGCGGGCCGCCACGGCGACGCCGTCGCGAACTTCGTCCGCGCGGCGAAGCTCGCGCCGGACCTCGCCGCGGAGCTCGGGATCTAACCCTTAGGCACGAGCCGGAAGAGCTGGAGGTCCGCGTGGGCGAAGGCCGGGTCGAATTCGGCCGCGTCGACCTCGGCGACGTCGAAGGCGGCCCGCGCGGCCTCGAGGAACAACGGGACGCCGTCCCGCCGCCGCTGCGTGCCCACGAGGACGAGGCGCGCGCGCGCGGCGACGGCGGCGAGGACCCGGGCGAGGTCGCCGGCCCACTGGTCGCAGATGAGCACGTCCGACGCGACGACGACGTCGAAGCCGCGGAACTCGGCCGCGACGGGCCGCCGCCAGTCGAGCGCGCGGACCGCCGGCCGACCGTCGCCGAGCGCGGCGGCGTTGGCCGCGACGACGCCCTCGAGGTGGGGCACGACCTCGTCGATCTCCGTCATCGTCACGGCGCAGCCCAGGCGCGCGAGCGCCATGCCCAGGAGCCCGCTCCCGGCGCCGAGCTCCAGCACCGCGTCGCCCGCGCCGACGCGCAGCGCGTCGCCGGCCGCGCGCGGCTTCTCGAGGAGCCGCGCCATGGCCACGGACATGTCCCAGACCCGCGTCCCCGTCGACGAGTAGCTCTCCTCGATAATGAGGTGTTTGTCGTCGCCGCAGTCGTAGTCGTATCTGCCGTAGCGCGTGCCGTCGACGTCGCCCTCGCGCCGCCAGTGCGGCTGCGTTTGTGGTGCCGAGGCGCGGCGCGCCTTGTTGGCGATGATGGCCTCGAGGGCGGCGGCCATCGAACGTTTGCTGGCGGCGCTTGGCGGTGCTGGTGTCGCGCGCGCACGACGAGAGGCCAGAGCTCGCCTCGAGCAAAATTACCACAGAGGTTCATCCAAAAAATGAACAAAACCTGAGGTTTGCTGTTGCACAAGCGAAACAATCGCATCAAATCGCACGTGCCCGAGCCGGTGATGCGTCGCCTGCAAGCCGTGGCAATCGCGCTCGCGTCGCTGTGGTCGCGCATGGCCTACGCGGCGCCCCTGCGGCCGTCGTCGGCGCTGGCGGCGATGCCGCGGGCCGTGCGCAAGGAGGTTGGCGGCGACCTGGAGCGCGGCCGGTCCGCCGCCGTCGCGCCGCGCGGCGGCGCGGCGTCCCTCGCGACGCGGCGCGCGGCCGTCTTCGCCGCGACCTACGTCGCCTACTGCTGCATCTACCTCGTGCGCAAGCCCGTGAGCGTCGTCAAGCCCATGCTGCAAAAGGATTTGGGCGCGACGACGGCGGAGCTCGCGGTCGTCGACACGGCGTGGCTGACGTGCTACGCCGCCGGCCAGCTGTCGCTGGGCTATTTTCGGAGTTTCGCCGCGCCGCCGACGCTGCTCACCGTCGCCTTCCTCGGCGCGGGTCTATGCACCGCGCTCTGCTCGACGTGCGCGTCCACGGCCCACCTCGCGGCGCTCTGGGGCCTCAACGGCTTCTTCCAGTCCTGCGTGAACCCGCTTCTCGTGCTCCACGTCGCGGGCATGTACGCCCCGTCGGCGCGGGCGTCGGCCGTGGCCGTCTGGCAGACGTCGCAGCAATTCGGGGGCACGGGCGCGAACTTCTTCGCCGCGTGGCTCTTGGACAAGTCGGGCTGGCGGTCCATCTTCGCCGTGGCCGGGGCCCTCGCGGCGCTCGCCGCCGCGCCGACGCGCATCGCCGTCTCCGACGCGTCCGTCGCCGTCGCCGAGGCGCCCGCGAAGAAGGCGGACGCGAGGGCGACGTCCGCGAGCCCGCTCGCGCTGCTGCGTCTGAAGGGCGTGCCCTCCGTGTGCGTCGCCTACTTCGTGGTCAAGATGGTGCGCTACTGCCTCATGTTCTGGCTCCCCTTCTTCCTCGTCAAGGCCGCGAACCTCTCGGCGGGCGACGCGGCGAAGCTCGCGACGCTGTTGGACCTCGGCGGCGCCGCGGGCGGCGTCTGCGTCGGCCTCGTCGCGGACCGGCTCTGCGGCGGCGCCATGGTCCTGGCCTGCGCGCCCTTTGCGCTGCTGACGGCGGCGTTGCTGGTCGTCCACGCGAACGCGTACCACCTGGGCGTCGGCGCGAACGCCGCGTGCATGCTCGGCGTGGGCTTCGCCGTCGCGGCGCCCGACGGCATTTTGGGCGGCGCCGTGGCGCGGAATTTGTGCGAGTACAACGCGCGGCCGGACGCGGCGGAGCTGTCGCCGGCCGTGAGCGGCCTCGTCAACGGCTGCGGCTCCGTGGGCGCGATCCTCCAGGGCTTCGGCACGGCGGGGCTCGTCGCCGCCCTCGGCTGGCGGGGCCTCTTCTACACGCTCGCGGGCCTCATGGCCCTCGCCTTCGCCGCCCTCCTGCCGACGATCGCGCTCGAGCGCGCCGCGCTCAGGGGCCGGCCCTGACCGCGCGCCCCGTTTTGCTCCCCCCCTCGGAACCGCCTAGGCCGCCGGTGTAACGGCGCCCTAGCCGAAGAGGTCCGAGACCGTGGACCGCGCCGTCGCGAACGCGTCTTCGTCCGCGAACGCGTCGAAGTTCTCGAGCGTGATGAGCGGCTTCCGGCGCCCGGACGTGCCCTTGGACGCGCCGCGCGCGCTCGCCGCGAACTCGATGGTCCGCGACGAGAGTAGGGGGCCCGTGTAGGGGTGCTCGGCGCTGAACTTGGGGCTCACGCCCTCGAGGCGGCCCCGCTCCGCGCCGCCGCGGAGGCAGACGAGCGCGGGCGTGCAGTCGACCTTCGAGCGGCGGCAGACGCCGACCATCTCCTCGCGCTCGACGTCGACCCAGCAGAGCCGCGTGCTCGACGACTCGGCGGCCTCGTCGTAGTGGCGCCGGAAGAAGCGCGACGGCGGGCACCACTTGGCCGTGAACAGGACGACGACGCGCTTCTTCCCCTTGGCGTCGCCGACGACGGCCTTCCACTGGGCCTCGTTCGTGATCTCCAAAGCGCCGTCGACGCCGTCGGGCAGCGTCTGCGTGAAGGACCAGTGCTGCGCGACGGGAGAGTCCATCGACGCTGCCCCCGCAGATCAGCGCTCTCCCAGTCCTGTTGAACCACTCGTTTCCTCGAAGGTGCCGCACCTCAGTTTAGAAAAACCCGCCACCCCTAGGTCTCGAGGAGCTCGGACTGGGGCATGGTGAGCTTGCTCGCGACGAGGGGCGCGACGTCCGTCGTGGACTCGGCGACCTCCTCCGACGGCTTCACGGGGGGCATGACGACGATGGTGACGTCCTGGGCCGCCGCGTTCTCGTCGATGCACTCGATCTCGAAGATGACGCGGATCGTGACGCCGGGGCAGAGCGCGGGCACGCGGCACAACGCCCGGGGCATGCGGTACGTGCTCTCGTCGAAGGTCACGCAGACGGGCACCTGCAGCAGCGCGCTCGCGCCGACGGCCCGGAGCTCGAGCACGAGGTGGAAGTAGGGCCCCAGGCCGCGCACCGTCGCGTTGAGCTCCACCGTGCCCTCGTCGCCGTTGGCCCCCGGCGACCCGCCGGCGCCCCCGGCGAGCTCGCCCTTCTTGAGCAGGCCCGCGTAGGCCTTGGCCGCGGTCAATTGGAGCTTCACGATGTCCTTCTGGAACTGGCGGTGCATGCGCGGCGCGAGCTCCCGCTCGCGGTCCGTCTGCTCGAGGTACATGCGCGTCTTCTTCGGGATGGCCAGGGGCACGTCCTGCTCCGGCGGCGGGCCGCCCGCGCGGTCGGCCGTGTCGAACGCCGCGGATCGGGGCAGCATCTTCACGAGCAGGCCGCCGCTCCTAGTGACGACCACGAGCGTGTTGTCCTCGCGGCCGTAGGAGCCGCAGCAGAGCGCCGACACGACCTCGCCCACGCGGATGACGTCCACGAGCTCCTTGTCGCGGTAGCCCCGGATCTCGCCCGTCGCGAGCGCGGCCAGGACGACGTTGACGACCCGCGTCTTGCGGATCGTCAGCAGCTCCAGGTTCGTCACGGGCGCCGGCATGCGCAGGCTGAACGTCTTGCGGCCCTTCTGGAGGTAGGAGTGGAGCTGGCTGTCCGCCGTCGCGACGTAGATGGCCTTTTCCACCCGCACCAACCCGCAGACCTGGGTCTCGAGCTCGATGTGGGGGCGCCGGATCACGGCCGTGCCCCGGTGCTCGCCGATGGACACCGTGTACAAGCGCGCGTCGCGGCAGGCGACGATGATGCGCCAGTCGACGTCGAAGCAGCCCGAGACGCGCATCGTCGTCGGCACGGCCGGCAGCTGGACCTCGCAGAGCTTGGTCGTCGCCGAGGGGTCGAGGATGATCAAGAGCTTCGACTCCGTGCCGATGACCAGCGAACTCATGGCGTCGGGCTCCTCGACCATCTTGGGCATCGTGCCCATGCACGTGATCACCGTGTCCTGGCGCAGCGGGAAGCGGACGACGCGCTCGACGTGGGCCGCGAGCTGGTCCTCGTCCTCCATGGGCAGCATGGCCAGCGACCGCGCGCTGAGCTTGGCGCCGTCGTCGTGGGCCGCCTTGAGCATCGCGCGCACCGTCGCCGGGTCCGCCTCGCCGTCGACGGCCTGCCGCCAGATGCTGTGCTCATTCGCGTCGAGCTCCACGGGCGGCGCCGTGAACTTGAAGAAGGGCCGCAGATTCTTGTAGACGAAGACGTGGGGGCCGGAAGCGACGCCCACCGCGGGCACGCGCGGCTTCTTCTCGTCCATGTAGAAGCCGCAGACGGCGACGGGCACGTCGACGAGCGGGTGCTCGCTCGCCTGGCGCGTGCCCTTGAAGACGCGCAGCTTGTCGTCGTAGTCCGCGCAGAGCAGGGCGTGCTCGCCGGACCCGTCCAGATCCAGCAGCGCGACGCCGGCCGACGACGTCTTGATGCTCGCGAGCTTGTCGTAGTGGGCGTGGAGCCACGGCGACGTGTACGCCGCGTCCCCGGGGCTCGTGCGGCGGCTCATGGCGGCCAAAGGCGCCGAGAGTTCTGTTGGTGCGAGGGATGCCGAGCGCGCCGCGGTCGACGGAGCCGGCGCGGCGGGCGGCCTTTGAGCTGCCCGTCGAGCGTTCGAGCCCGGGCTGCTGATAAAGCGGGCTCGAGATGTTTCCCCTCGTATTGAAGTTCAATAATCTTCATTTACGTCCCCGGCGCGCGGTAGGGCGCGCCGCTCGCGTCGCCGCGGTCGGCGCCGTCCGTGGGGCCCCGCGAGGAGAAGGCGAAGGACGACGAGGCGCCCGACGTGGACGCGCGGCGGAGCGACGTGTCGTTGTAGTGGGACGCCTTGGCCGCGGCGGACGCGTGGGGCTTCCAGGAGAGCGCGTGGGCCGTCGCCGCCGTGTAGGCGATGTACTCGGGGATGCCCGCAAACTTCAAACCCTCGTAGACCTCGGTGGAGTCCGCGGGCACGCCGACGGCCGCGGCCATGACGCACGAGTACGTGTGCGTCGTCGGCGCTATGCCGTGGTGGCGGAGCCGGTTGAAGACCTGGAGCGCCCGGCGCCAGGCGCCGGCGTGGCCGCAGATGTCGATGACGGCGTTGTAGATGGAGACGTCGACGAGGCCGTCGCGGCCCGCGCGCGCGGCCGTCTGCGCCTCGATCTCCTCCAGGATCGCGAACGCGTGGCCCGCGGGCGCGTCGCCGACCTTGCAGGCCCGCAACAGCGCGCGCCAGGTGCGCAGCGTCGGCGCGAGGCCCTTGGCGACCATGGCCCGGTACGCGGCGAGCGCCGCGCGCCAGTCGCCCGCGATGCCGCACTCGACCAGCGCGCGGTGGCACGCCTCGGCGACGGCGGCCTCGGACGCTTTCGTGACCGTCAGCTTCTCGAGGTGCTTCGCGTCGGCGAAGAGGTCGCGGTCGAGCTTCGCGGGGCGGCTGAAGGCCGCGAGCGTCGCCGCGGACTGGGACCCCTTGGTGGAGAGCGTGCCCGGCGCCGCGCGGCGCCGCGCCGCGCCGGGCGACGACGGCGGCGACAGGGGCGGCCGCTTCTTCGGGATGGGCGTCGGCGCCGCGTCTAAGACGTCGTCCATGGCCGCGCGCGCGGCGGCGACGCGGCCGCCGGCCGCGAAGCCGTCGTCGCCGCCGCCGTCGCCGGCGCCGTCGTCGCCGAAGAACGACGGCCGGTCCAGGGCCGCCGGCAGGTAGGTGAGCGTCGCGAGGCCGTGGCGCGCGAGCAGCACCTCCGTCGGCGCCGACGTCGTCGACGGCGGCGCGGCGCGGCGGCGGCGGCGCCGCCGGCCGGTCGCGGCGGGCGCGTGGTCGAGGATCGTCGCGCCGTCGTCCTCGAGCGCCGCGAGGTCGTCGCGGGCCGCGCGCGCCTTGAGCGTCGTCTCGCGGTAGGTCGCGCGGGCCAGGTGCAGCGCGTCCTTGTCGACGGCGTCGAGCATGCGCCGCGCGCGCGTCGCGTCGATCTTCGCGGTTTTCAAGAACCGCGCCTCCGCGGCCTTCCGGGTCTTCTCGAGGGCCCCGAAGTGGGCCGGGTCCGCCTCGGCGGCGAGCTCGATGGACCTCGTTTGAAGCTTCTTGAGCTGGGTCATGGCGTCCGTGCCCGTGCACGCGTTGACGCCGCGCTTGAGGACCCGGAGCCCGACGACGAGGTCGTCCGTGCCCGCGAGGCCTAAACCGCCCGCCCGTACGGGCTCGCGCACGGCGGCCTCGAAGGCGCAGAGCTGCTCGACGACGCGGCCCCGCCAGCGGCTCCGCGACACGTGGCCCGTCGACGCCGCGACGGTCTCCGCGTCGCGGAGGTGGCGGAGCCACGGCAGCGCCTCGGTGACCGTCGCGGACCTCCGGCTCGCGAGGCGCAGCTCCGTGCGGTGGATGCCGTGGCGCACGTCGTGGGCCGCGGCGTTGACGAGGAAGGCCCGCGTCGCCGCCTCCGTGACGTCGTCCAGCGCCTTCTTCGAGTCCTCGAGCTCCTCGCGCGCGAGCACGTAGCGGCAGTAGGAGCTGCCCCGCGCCTCGCTCACGGCGCGGGCGGCCTCGACCTCCCGGTCCGTGGCCTCGATGGCCGCCAGGGCCTCCCGCAGCACCGTGTGCCGCTCCTTGGGCATGGCGATGGCCCGGCCGGCAGCCCCCCCGCCCCGATCAGAGGACCATCAGAAAGCTCGTTGTTTTGGTCGACGTTGACTTTCCTACCACCACAACCTCGAGTCGTGAAAGCGGTCGCTCGAGCTGCCCGCCGCCGCCGCTGCGCCGCCGTCGCGCGTCTCGGCACCACGACGCCGCCGCGGCTCGCGCGCCCGCGGGATGACCGTGCCGCTCGTCGAGATCGTCGTCCTCGCGCTCCTCTGCACCGTCGGCACGGGCGCGGCGGCCTACTACGCGCTGAAGCGGCTCAAGGACGTCGAGCGCGCGGAGCAGGGCGACGTCGAGCTGCAGTGCCTGCACCGCGACGACGACGCCGACGTCTTCGAGGGCCAGGGCTTCGTCGGCAGCGTCTTCCTGCCCCAGAGCTCCTGAGGCTCGCGGCGGCGCGCGCGCGGCGCCGGCCGCCGGGCCGCGGCCGCGGCCGCGCGCGCCGTGAGCCGCCGGGCCGCGCCGCGCGCCGCGCGCGCGTCGTCCGCCGGCCCGCGCGATGATGATGCGCGGCCCGTCGTAAACACGTTCGGACTTTTGCATTCCCAGACCAGCACATCAGCCCGCGTCTTCGGATTGTCGTCGTCCCCGAGGAAATGCGCTGGAGAGAGAGGTGCCATTCCGGTGGTCGAGATGCGTGCTCAACACGTGGGATTAGACCGCCCCGACGCGGCGCGCCGTGGGCCACGCGTCGTGGGACGCGTCGGCGGCGGCGCCCGCGGCGCGGCGCGCGCTCCGGCCCATGGGGTTCTCCGTCGAGAATTCGCCCGCGGGCGGGAGCTCGACGTCGCCGGCGGGCGCGTTCGACCTCGGTGCTAACGTGATGACGCGCTTGATCTTGCGGAAGCGGCTCCGGATCTCGCCCCGCTTGGCCAGCGACTCGAGCTCGACGGGCTCGTCGAGCGACTCGCGCTCGCGCTCGTACCACTTGCTCCGGTCGTGCTCGTCCTCCTCGTAGGCCCGTTTCGCGCAGGCGTCGACCGCGGCCTTGAAGGCCGCCATGAGGAAGTAGACGGCGAGGAGGAGCAGGAAGACGCCCGCGAAGTTGATGGCGACGCCCACGTTCACGGAGCGGCGGCCGCCGGACGCTCCGTCGGAGAACCGGTCCAGGTGGCCCTGGAAGAGCACGTAGGAGATGACGGGCGCGGCCGTGAAGAGCTCCTCGAAGAGCACCTCCTGGATGCTCGGGGGCAGCAGCACGAAGGAGCTCGCGAGGAAGATGCCGAGGCGCACCGCGGGCGACGGCCGCCACGTCTGGTCCGCGTAGATGCGGCGGAGCGCGTTGAGCGAGCCTGGGGACGGGGCGCTGCCAGGGGCGAACGAGAGAACACAGGGACGCGGCGGAGGCGCGCCGTCGTACTCGTCGTTGCGCGTCTCGAGGACGCCGAGGCAGTGCTTGCCGATGCGCGTGCCGCGGAGGTCGTCGTGCCAGTGCGCGAGGAAGAACGTCGAGAGCTCCGGGAGCCGCGTCTCGAAGGGGAACTGGCGCACGGCCGTCGGGTCGTCGAACTTGGTGAAGTACTCGTCGAGGAGCGACGGCAGCGCGATGCCGAAGAAGTAGACCTCGATCGTCGCGATGACGCCGTAGTAGAGGCAGAGCGACACGGCCGCGTCCTGCATCCAGAGCGCGGACCGCTTGTTGCCTGCGAACGTCCGGTGTGAAAACAGGTCCCTCGCGCGCGCGGGGGACGCCGCTTGTTGCCGAGCTCGGAGCCGTGGGCGACGACGTAGTACGCGGCCGCGGCCGCGACGGCCAGGACGGCGAGCCAGGCGCCGACGTAGGCGGCCCTGGTCACGTCGTCGGCGGCCTCGGCCTCGCCGTGGAGGTCGAGCTTACTGTCGTAGAGCGCGCGCTCGCCGGCGCCGAGCCGCGCGACGCGCTCGCACTCGTATCGCGGCCTTGAGCACGGTCGTCTCCTCGGGCGATGCGCCGGCGGTGGCGCTGAGCTCGCGGTCCCCCTCGATGACGAGGGGCACCTGCGCCTCGAGGAGCGCCTCGACGTTGTCGACGAAGCGCCGCCGGTCCGGGACGACGCACCACCGCGTCCGCAGCCGCGTCCGCAGGCGCTTGAGGATGCGCCGCCGCGCCGGGTCGCCGGCCGCGGCCATGGCGCGCTCGAGCTCGTCGTCGCGCGCGAGCACCGCGTCGGCGACGGCCGGCGCGAGGTGGCGGAAGACTTTCGCGAGCGCCGCCGCGTCGCCGCGCGCGCGGCCCGCGGCCGCGGCGCTCCGCCGGGCCGCCGCGAGGCCCCCGCCCATGCGGCGGCGCACGTAGGTCGCGACCTTGCGCGCCTCCTTGAGCCGCGTCCGCCGGCTCCCGCGCTCGGAGAGCCGCTCCGCGGGCCGGCCGTCGAAGCCGTCCGCCGGCGCGGCGCCGCCGACGAAGCGGAGGTCCTTGAGGCTCGAGAGCCAGGCGCTCACGCGCGAGGCGTCGCCGCCGCCGCCCTCCGCCGGCGGCCGGGCGCTCTCGGGCGGCGCCTCCGGGGCCTCGGCGTCGCCGCGGCCCGCGGCGGCCGCGCGGAAGGGGTTCGGCGCCTCGAGGTAGGTCTCGACGAGGCGGTCGAGGACCGCGACGAGCGGGAGGAGCACGGCGAGCGACGCGCCGAGCGCGAAGTAGTGCTGGACGGACTGGCTGTCCGCGCGGTCCGGCTCTCGGTACGCGCAGGCCCCCGCGCACGTCGACCAGACGCACATGTCGCGCGGCTTGAAGACGGCGAAGGCGAGGTTCTTGTACTTGAGGCAGCCGTTGCGCGACGTCTCGTCCTCGCAGCCCGGGTCGGGGTAGTAGAGGGCCGACTCGAGGACGCAGGACGCGAGGAACATGAGCACCTCGAGGCCGAGCTTGGAGACCTTGGCGCGCCGCGACACGAAGCGGTCGCGCGCGAAGAGCGCCGCGATGGGGTGCTCCGTCCGCATGAGCTCGGCGAAGCGGCGGAACGTCTTCCCCCCGGCGACGATGAGCTCCACGGGCCGCCGGCTCTCGAAGTACGCGCGCTCGTCCATCGACGGCCGGTGGCGCAGCTTCGGCACCGGCGCCGCCGCCGCGCCGCGGGCCGGCGCGCCGCGCGTCGCCTCGTAGAGGTCCGCGGCCGCGGCGCCGAGGACGACGGCGCCGAGGAGGACGGCGAGCGCCGCGAGGACGACGCGGCTCCGGCGCAGGTCCACGGCCGCGCCCGCCGTGCCGACGTAGGCGGCGACGGACGCGAGCCTGTCGCTCTTGAGCGCGTAGTCGCTCGCCGCGGCGTAGTCCACGAGGCACGCGCAGGTCACGACCGCCGGGGCCGTCGACACGACCGTCGCCTCGCAGCCCGCGCCCATGCGCCAGCCGCGCGCGCCCCGCTCGAGGCACTGGGAGGCCTCGCCGGGGCACCGGAGCCGGTAGACGCCCTCGGTGCCGTCGCAGAGCTCAGCGCGCCGGACGTCGGTGCCAGGGCCGCCACGAAGGACACCGTCGCCACGCCGGGCGTCGACGAGCCGCCGTACGTCGCCGAGAGGCGCAGCGAGTAGTGTCCGCCGGGCACCAGCGCGCCCGCGGGCAAGACGAGGACGTGGTCGCGCGCCACGGCAGGGCCCCGAACAGCGACGGACGTCCGCGCCGTCTCCTCGAGCCCCGCGTCGCCCGAGAATAGCCCGCTCACGAGCGACCAAGTCGTGTTGAGCTCGAGGCTCGGGTCCGTCTCCGCACCGAGGCTCGAAGGCGCGGCGGAACCGTAGAGCACGACGCGCTCGGACGCGCTGATGCGATGGCCGACGCTCGACGCGTCGACGAACGCGACGGGCGGATCCGCGGCGACGAGCTCGACGACGACCGCCGCCGCGTCGGAGCGCCCGTCGGGCGTCGAGGCGTATGGCCGCCGCCGTGATGACGCGCTCCGCGAAGGACTGGGAGCCGTCGTTCTCGTACCAGGCGATCGTGTCGTCATAGGCGGACGCCGAGAGCGCGTCGACGTCGCCGTCGCCGTCAACGTCGATCGCGTAGACGAACCAGGCTTCGATGGCCGCCGCCGTTATGACGCCCTCCGCGAAGGACTGGGAGCCGTCGTTCTCGTACCAGGCGACCGTGTCGTCGTTGTACGACGCCGAGAGCACATCCACGTCCCCGTCGTCGTCGACGTCGATGGCGAAGACGCACGCGGCCTGCATCGCCGATGCGGTGATGATTCTCTCGGTAAACGACTGGAACGGCTGGGCGCCGTCGTTCTCGTACCACGCGACCGTGTCGTCGTTTCGGACTGCCGACAGCGCGTCGACGTCGCCGTCGCCGTCGACGTCGATCGCGAAGACGGAGCGGGGGTGGTCCGCCAGCGCCGTGATGACGCGCTCCGTGAAGGACTGGGAGCCGTCGTTCTCGTACCAGGCGACCGAGTGGTCGTTGGCGGAGGCTGACAGCGCGTCGACGTCGCCGTCGCCGTCGACGTCGATCGCGAAGACGGAGAAGGCGCTGTCCGCGAGCGTCGTGATGACGCGCTCCGTGAAGGACTGGGAGCCGTCGTTCTCGTACCAGGCGATCGTGTCGTCATAGGCGGACGCCGACAGCGCGTCGACGTCGCCGTCGCCGTCAACGTCAGTCACGAAGACGCCGCGGGCGCCATCCGCGATCGTCGTCACGATGCGCTCAGTGAACACACAGCCGCTGCAGGTCGCGATCACGATGGAAACGAGCAAGAAGATAACGTTCTCCATCATAACATGGCTGCCCGAGGCAAACCAAAATTGCTTGAAGGTTCAATTTGATTTTTTTTGCTGGGCGGGAGGAAAGATCGCACCTAGGAGAGCTACACGTACATGTACCGGCCGGCCTCCGTCGCACATCCAGGCGAGTGGGCGAGCTTTGGTTGGCCCCACGAAACTCAATCTCCAGCCTGAGTCGGCGCCCCCTCCGGACAGTCTCTTCGGCTCAGATCCCCAAGAAGCATGGACGAAGATTACAAGTACAGAGGACGCGGCAAAGGTCGGACCGAGGAGGGAGAACTCGGAGCTGCTCTCGGCGCTCGCGCGCGGCCCACGAGGCTCGAGCGAGGCGTCACTCGAGGATCGCGCCGTCCCACGACGAGACGGGTTTCATCGCGAGGATGCCGCTCTCGACAGATTTGGAACGCGTGCGGAGGCTCGGCTGCTTCTCGAGCTCGCGCGCGGCGCCGTCGCCCGACTCGTCGCGCGCGCTCGGCCGAAGCGCGTCCGAGTCCTCCCGCCGCGCGCCGCCGCCGCAGACCGCGTCGACGAGGCCGTCGTACAAAGACTGCGTGTAGGAGGGCTTCTCCACGGTCTCGGCGGGGCGGAACTCGTCCTGGCTCGTGCGATGCGTCCGCATGAATTCACCATAAGTCACGCCCTCGTGGCGAGCTTGTACCGCCTCATTCAGCGCCGCGGCGAACGCGGGGACCTCCTCGGCCGACCCGTCGTCGTCGGAGGTATCCAGGGGGAGGCCCACGTCCATTATTTTCGCGCGGCGGCGGCGAGGTTCACGGGAGTCAAGGCGTCGACGCTCAAAAAAGAAAGCGATCACCACCAAGAGCCGCCCGGGATAAATCCCGCGGTACCTCATGCCGGATTCTTCGATCGCGGGCCCGGCACCCACCCACCCACCTCCTGGCCAATCAGGGACCTCCGTTTCGTTAGTTGCCTTCAAGTTGCCGCTCGCAAAATCGCCACAACGCGCGCGCGATTCCGCGCGCGCGCTCTCTCGTGTCGCGGAGCTGCGCGGTCCAATCTCCGCTTTGCGATGAGAACGGGCACCCGCGCCGCTCGACTCGCCGCGGCGAGAAGCGGCGCTTGCCCAGAGACGACGATAGCGGCGTGAAGACACGTCGCCGAGGCGCCGCGCGACCGTCAGCCGCGGCACCGCGGGTCATGACCGCGCGCGCGCGCGCGCGTTACAAGTACCCATCAGTACACTGTAGATTTTCCAAACCAGGCCTCCGGACCCACCCACCCACCTCGCCATGAGGTTCGAATCTTTTGTCCGTGGGTGGCTCGTGTCACCACCCAAAAATCTCCCAAAACTGCCTCAAGCTCTGGAGGTGGTGGCGCGACACGGCCGCGCCGGTGCAAGCATTGCAACGAGTCATGGCGGAGTGGACAGCGGTGGATCAAGCACAGCTCGACGAAGCGCTGGCGCAGACGGCGCAGCTCACCGGGAAACAGCGATGGGTGCGCATTGGTGAGCTGGTGCCGGGCAAGACAGCGCAGCAATGCGTCGAGCGCTTTCGAGCGGTTCGCGCCAGCTTGCAGGCTGCTGAAAACGCAACGACTCCGAGTCGCCGCCGCGCGCGGCGTCTCCGGCACCGCCGCGCGCGCCGTCGCCGCCGCGCGAGCCGTCGCCGCCGCCGCCGCCTCGCGAGCCATCGAGCGGCCTGACGGTCGTGCGGCCATCGCGGCCACCGGTGCCGCCGCGGGTGCCGCCAGTACCAGCGCCAGCGCCAGCGCCGCGCGCCGTCCCGGCGGCCGCGCCGATCGTCGCCCCGCGGCGCCGGCCGCCGGCCGCCGAGGCGCCGAAGCCCGCGCCGACGCCCGCGCCGAAGCCCGCGCCGAAGCCCGCGCCGAAGGACGTGGAGGACGTCGCGGCCGTGCGCGTCGGCAAGGCGCCGTCGCGGAGGCAGCGCCGCGGCGAGAAGCCGTGGACCGCCGCCGTCGACGGCTCGACGCCGGCGCTCCGCGCGCACGCGGGCCTCGGCCAGCTCGCGGACGACGGCTTCTGGGACGCGGCGGCCGCGCCGGCGCGGGCCGCGAGGAAGCCGGCGCCGGCCGCCGCCGGCGCGGGCGCCGCCGGCCGCGCCGGCGGGCGGAAGAAGAAGCCGAAGCCGAAGCTCAAGGACCTCGCGATGAGCTTTAAGTAAAATGGCCTAGCCGCCCTTGACCTTGGGCGAGTAGAGGGTCCGGACGTCCGTGGCGATGGCCGCGGGGACGAGGCCGTCGAGGCTCGCGCCCGCGGCGACGGCGTCGCGGACGGCCGTCGAGGAGACCTTGTGGAGCTTCTCGTCGGCGACGATGTAGCGCGTCTCCGGGGGCGCGCGCAGCGGCCCGAGGAAGAGCGGCCCGAGCACGTTGAGCGCGTGGAGGACGTGCTCCGCGGGGCCGTCGTCGCGCCAGCTGCGGACGCCGCGGTAGAGGACGCGGCAGCCGCGCCTCGCCGCGGCGCGCCAGACGTAGCCGGCCTCGACGACGACCTCGACGCGGCCGCGGAGCGCGTCGTCCGCGTCGACGGCCGCGCGGACGAGCTCCGCGCGCCGCGCCGCCGGCACCGCGTAGCGCTTCGCCGCGTTGTGGCCGACGCAGGCGTAGATTTTCGCGTGCTGCGCGGCCATGCAGCGCAGCAGCGCGACGTGGCCGCAGTGCGGCGGGTTCCAGGACCCGGCGTAGAGCACGGGCGGCCCGCCGGCCGCGGGCGCCTTGAGCATGTCGGCGGCGTTCCAGACGACGGCGGCGTCGATGCGGTAGAGCACGAAGATCAGCAGGAGCAGGAGCACGCACAGGACGCCGAGCACGACGAGCTCGAAGGCCGTGTCGGCCCTGCCGTCGATGAGCCAGGTGGGCATCATGTTGCTCGCATGCAGTCAACTGTTAAGTAACTTAGTTTCCCTTCAACACGGGTTCAAGGACGATTTGGAGGCGCGACCCCGTCGCCTGACCATCCCCGGTGCGGTCGGGGTCGACGCGAAGGGACGCGGTTGCCATGGTGGATCGCGGGAGCCGGCCCGCGACCGCGCGGTCGACGCGGTCGCCGCAGTCGTCGCGCGACGGCCGCGGCGCCTCGCTCGGGCCGCGCCTCCCGGGGCGGCGACGTCGCAAGGAGAGAGGGTGCTTTTTACGGCGGCGGAGGGTGCGCGTCTGGCGCGCGGCTTGGGGGCGGTCGAGCGGGGCGCGCGCGGTCGCTCAGCGGCCCCCTTGCTGCTCGAGCATGCAGTCGAGCTGGTCGCCGTCGTCCATGTCGATGTCCTGCGGCGTCTGGTCGCCGCGGACGCGCTGGCCGTCGAAGAGGAAGCGGAGCGACGTCGCGTTGACGCCCTTGCGCTGCGAGTACGCGTTGAAGACCTTGTCGAGCTTCGTCGTCTTCTTGACCTTGAAGAAGGTCTCCTCGCCGGTCTGGTCCCGGATGCGGATGTTGAGCGAGTTCTCGCCGCCGGCCTCCTTGGACGGCTTCTTGTCTTCCTCGTCGGCCATGGTGTCGCGCGCGCCGCCGAGTCTGTTCGCCTACGGAACCGGCGCGTCGCGACCGCGGCCCCCGGTCGCCCTCGGATCCTCGCGCGCGCGCGCGCGCCGCCCCGCCGGAGCCGTGTCGCGTCGCTCGCCGCGCGCGCGAGCGCCGCCCGCGACGCCCCGCCGCCGTCCGCCGCGCCGCCAGCGCATCGGCGAGCGCCGCGCGCCAAGCGGCGCGCCGCGCGTCTTCGACGACGGCGCGACGGCGACAGCGTTCGCACGGCGGTCCGGCAGCGTCGCGGCGCGCGCGGGAGGCGCGCCCCCGAAGCGAATAAGGGCCCCGGGACGCAGGCACATACGAGTTTAAAGCTGGTCGAGCCTGGGTCGAGCCGGATGAGTCCGGCGCGCGTTCGAGAGTCCATGCTCGCCGGGTGCAGCTCGGTCCTAGGCATGAGGCCGCGGCCGCTTAACACAAGCTGATGTCCCAGAGGTCCTACGGAGACGTGCGCAGCATGAAGCGTCGGGAGAGCAAGCCGCTCGGACCGTATTCGCTGCCCTGCATCGGCGCGCGAAAAGTTTGAACCCCCGGTCAACTGTTTTGCCGTAGCGCGTCTTGGGCAATGGCAGCTCTCGAAGCGAGTCTCGGCGCGCTCACTGTCGAAAGCGACGACGCGCCGCCCTCGCCACCCAAACCGCCGCCGTCCCTGCGCAAGTTCGCGATCCTCGCGACGCGCGCGAAGATGCACGCCAAGGCGCTCGAGCTCTGGCGGCGCCTCGCGGCGGCGGACCCCGACGACTGCGTCGCGTGGTACAACGTCGGCGGCGCGGCGGCGGGCCTCGGCGACGTCGACGGCGCCCTCGAGGCCTACGCGCGCGCGCTGGCGCCCCACTGCGGCGCCGCGCTGCGGTCCGCGGCGCGCGCGAACGCGGCCGCGCTCTGCATCAAGGGCAGGCGGCCGGCGGCGGCGGCCGAACACTGCCGCGCGGCGCTGGCGGACTTCGACGCGGCGCCCGGCGGCGACTTCCCGGCGCACGCGCTCTACAACCTCAACACGGCGCTGCGCCAGGTCGGCGACCAGCGCGGCGCCGTCGCCGAGACGTGGCGCCGCCTCTCCGCGGCCGCGGCGCCGGGCTCGGCGCTGCGCGCGTTCGCCGCGGCCCGCGCCGCCGGCGCCCCGCGCGACCCCCGCGCGCCGGTCGCGGCCGCGGACGACACGCTCACCGTCGCCTGCGTCAAGTGGGGGACGAAGTACGACGCGGGCTACGCGAACACGCTCGCGCGGGCCGTCCGGCGGCACCTCGCGGTCGGCGCCGTGGTCTGCTACACGGACGATCCGTCGGGCCTCGACGCGGACGTCGTCGAGGCGCGGCCCCTGCCGGCGGGCACGGCCCTCGAGGCCTGGTGGCTCAAGGCGTACCTCTTCTCGGCCGACGCGGGGCTCGAAGGCCGCGTGCTCTACGTGGACCTCGACACCGTCGTCTGCGGGCCCCTCGCGGGTCTGGCGGCCTACGGCGGCGACAGCGTCGCGCTGCTCGGCACCGACGACCTCGCCAACGAGAACCGAAGCGGCGGCTACAACTCGTCGCTCATGGTCTGGACCGCGCCCGCGCTCTCGGAGATCTACGACCTCGTCGCCGAGCCCGGCGCCTACGCGGCGCTGAGCTCGTGCGTCTACAAGTTCGACCACTGGCTCGAGATGCTCCTCGACGACGGCGTACCGCTCCAGGACCTCGCGCCGGGCCTCGTCGCCGAGTACGCGCGCGACGTCCTCGCCAACGGCGGCGCGCCGCCGCCGGGCGCGTCGATCGTCTGCTTCCCCCTCGAGCCCAAGCCCCACGACGTCGCGACGCCCTGGGTCGCGGCGCACTGGCGCTAAAGAGTTTTATCACCGCCGCCGGTGCTCGTGGTGGTGCATGTGGTTGAGCTTCGACGGCTTCGTGAGGGACTTCTTCGCGCCCTTCTTCTTCGAGCTCTTTTTTTTCAGGTTGCCGCGCAGCATGGATTTGCGCGCCGCGTCGCGCTCCTCGAAGTAGGCCTTGTTCGCCGCCAGCTCCTTCGGGATCTTGCCGTTGTAGTCATCGGCGCGCGCGCCCTTGTGCTTCCAGGGGTTGCCGCGGTCCTTCGCGGCGGCCGCCGCGACCAGCGCGAGGAGGGTGAACATCCACAGCGGCAGCCTGGCGTAGCGCGCGCGGGCTGCTGGCACCATCACGGCACCGATGCAACAACGCGTCAAGCCGATGATACTTCCGCCACCCACTAGAAGCGAGTCTGCCGCCCGCTGCGCGCGCGCCGCTCGACGCGTCGTTCCCGCGATGTCTACGCCGCAGATGTGCGTCGTTCCCGGCCGCGCGCCGCGCGCCGAGACAAATTCGCGCAGGTACGTGCGCGTCAAGAGGAAAACGACGACGATCTTCCTGAACGTCGAGAAGTCCGACTCCTTCGGGGGCGTCAAGCAGAAGATCGGCGAGATCCTCGACGTGGCGCGCCGGCGCACGCGTTTCGACGTTCCCGCGGATCGCGACGGACCGCGCCGGCGCAGGTCCCGGCGACGTCCGTGCGGCTGTCGACGACGAACGACATGGCGACGGGCGAGGTCGTCGACACGGCCTTCGTCGACAACTTCGTCGAGAGCGACGCCGTGCTCTACATGATCCTGCAGAAAGACGGCGGCGGGTCCTGGGAGGCGCGGCGGCCCGCGTCCGCGACGTCGTCCGCGCGCGCGAGCGGCGCCCGAGCCGCGCGACCGCCCGCAGGAGATCGACGTCGCGGAGGAGAGCGCGAAGCCGAGCGCGTGAGAGGACGCGCGCCACCCCCCCCGTAACGTGTATTCATCGAGCGTAAACACGGTGGCCGCCGGGTGTTCATCCCGAGGTGCTACGCACGCGTCGCGACTTGTCGACGTCGCGACCGCCCACCGCGCCGACGTTGCCGCACGCAGCGTTACGCCCGCGGAGCGGCTGGCCAGCCAACGGGTCGTTGTCGGCGGGCAGCGTCGTCGTCGCGGCCATGCCGGCGCCCATGTTCGCGGCGGACAACGCGCCGGTGAAGATGGTGGGCCGGAAGCGGCGGCCGCCGCCGAACGCGCACCACCGCCCCCTCGAGGAGGGGTCGCGGCCCGTGATCAACGGCCTCTACGCGAAGCTGGGCCACTCGGAGCGCCTCGCGACGCCGCCGCAGAAGGAGAACCGGCAGACCGACGACATCTTCGTCGCCCAGGCCGAGCTGCGGGCCCTCGAGGCCCTCAACGGCAAGCTCACGGACGAGCTCTGCCGCATCGAGGAGCGGACGCAGCAGATGGAAATAGACCGCAACGCGGCCGTCGCCGAGTGCGACGGCCTCCGGGAGCGCGAGCGCGCGCTGCGCGAGCAGGTCGCCAACGCGCGGCGCGACGCCTCCAAGGCCGCCGCCGACGCCGAGCGCTGCGAGGAGGCGAGCCGCAAAGCCAGGGCCGACGAAGACGCGGCCGTCCGGGACCGCGACGCCGCCGTGAACGAGGAGCGGCGCGGCCGCGGCCAGCGCGAGGCCGACGCCCGGGAGATCGCCGCGCTGCGCAAAGCCCTCGACGAGTCGCGCGCGGCCCTCGAGGCGGAGCGACGGGCCGTCGCGAAATTCGACGCGGAGTCGTCGGAGCTCCGCGACGCCGCGGAGACCGCGAACGCCGAGTGCTCGCGGCTGCGCGAGGAGGCGGAGCGCCTCGCCGAGGACGTGGAGACGGAAAAGGAGTGGCGCGAGCAGGCCCAGAAGGAGGCCGCGGCCGCGACGGAGCGCCTCGGCGACGCCGAGGCCGCGGCGCAGAAGGCGACGACGGCCGCGTCCTACCTGAGGCGCACGTCCAAGCTCGCCATCGAGGAGGCGTCGGCCGTGCGCAGCCAGGTCGCCCAGCTGCGCACGCACCCGGAGAAGGCCGCGGCGCCGCCGCCGACCGTCGTCGGCGGCTTCGGCCACAAGGTCACCGCGGTGAAGAAGCCGGCCAACGGCCGCACGGCCGACGGCGACCCGGACGCTCTGTCCCAGGGCGACGGCGACCTGCGGCGCAAATACGCCGCCGCGCGCGACGCCGCGGCCATGGAGAAGAAGCGCGCCGAGGTGCTCTACCACCAGCTCAAGCACGAGCGCGACGCGCTCGACGCGCGGGACCGCGAGGTCGACGCGCTCCGCGCCGCGCTCGACCGCGCGCGCAAGGCCCACAAGCACGAGCTCCACCGCGTCAAGCTCCTCCAGGCGGAGAAGCCGCCGGCCAAGGCCGCCGCCGCGCGGCACCGCGCGCCGCCGGACGACGGCGACGGCGCCGCGCCGGCGGCGTCGCCCGCGAAGGTCGCGCCGCCGAAGCGCGAGAGCCGGTCCGCGGGCGCGCCCAAGCCCCCGCCGGAGCCCCGGGCCCGCCGCCCGCCGGCCCCGTCGCCGCGCGCCGCGCCGCCCGCGCCGCCGCCGCCGCAGTACAGCGACGTGCCCTGCTTCCTCCGCGACGACGACGACGACGAGATCGCCCGGGCCGTCCAGGCGCGCTACGCGCCCGCGGGCGAGCCCTCGCCGGCGACGCCGCCGCCCGACGTCTTCGGCGCCGCGGACGACGCCGAGCTCGAGGCGCGCGCGGCGCTCATGGGCCGCCTCGGCGGCGACGACGCCAAGGACCGCGGCGCGGACGTCGACGACGAGATCCCCATGTGCTTCCAAGACGACTCCGACGACGACTTCGACTTCGGGCCCGACGACTAGGGGCCGCGCGGCGGTGTGTAAGGTTTCTAGTCCTGCCGCGTCGCCGCGGACGCGTCGTCGAGCTCCGCCGCCGCGGCCTCGCACTCCTCGCAGAGCCGCGCGGCCTCCTCCTCCCAGGCCAGCGCCGCCTCGTCCGCCTCGTACGCGGCCGCCTCGTCGAGCCACGCGGCCGCGTCGTCCGCGTCGCGCTCCGCCGCCGCCGCCGCGGCCTCGCGGCCCAGGTCTCTCTCGTGCTGGGCGGCCGCCGCGCGGCTCTCGCGCGTCCACTTCATCTCCGCGTTCTCGACGCCGGGCGCCAGCAGGCCCACCAATTTCTTTCCACAGCCTTGCGCGTGCTTGTGGGCCTTGCGCTTGGGGAAGGCGTCGCGCTTCTGCTGGGGCGCCATCCACGCGACGCGCTTCTTCGAGCGCTTCTTCTCGTCGCGCATCTTCGGCTAATGACACGTGCAAACGCTGCCGTTCTCCGGGCACAGACTATCTCAAAAAGTGGCGCCCATCGGTCAGGCCTCAGAGGTCAAGCTCTCACGTCGACGACAGGTTGAATCGATGTTGACGCACCCAGTCCTCACGAAAGAAGGGCACTTAGGGGACGACCGGCCGGCCTCAGGAAGAAGCCGCCGGCGAGAAGCGGCGGAGCGCGAGCTCCCGGCGGCGCGCGGCCGCGGCCTCCGCGGCGGCGACGGCGGCCTCGTCGACGGCCGGCGGCGGCGGCGGCGGCGGCGGCGGCGCGCTCGCGAGCGTGCGGCCCGCGCCGGCGAACTTCTCCGGCCCCGCGTAGCCCATGGCGTCGTCGCCGTCGTCGTCGTCGTCGTCGTCCTCGTCCATGTCGTCGTCGCCGCCGTCGTCCATGGCCGCGTCGTCGTCCTCGGCCTCGGCCTCGTCCGTGTCCATGGCCGCGGCGGCGTCCTCGGCGAGCTTGCGGCGCCGGAGGTCCTCGGGCTGGGCCTCGAGCTTGGCGATGTCGCGGTCCGTCGACGACTCGCGCGGCGCCGCGGGCGCGCGGGGCTCCGCGGCGGCGGCGCCGAGCTCCGCGAGGAACGCCGCGTGCGCGCGGCGGAGCGCGGCCTTGAAGGCCTCGGCCGTGTCGGCGTAGGAGGCGTCGGCCTCGAAGCAGCGCGCCTCGACGGTCTGCGCGATGGCGGCCTTCTTGTGCTCGAAGTGGCGGAGGATCGCGTCGCCGAAGGGCCCCTCGTTCCGCGACGCGAGCGCGTGCGCGCACGCGCCGTCGAGGGTCTGCACGGCGAGCACCTCGTCGGTCTTCCGCGCGTCCGGCGGCACGTGCGACATGGCCTCCTCGCCCGTGGACAGCGCGCGGCCCACGCGGCCGTGGTCCGTCTCCGTGCCCTCCCAGCCGCCGTGGCCCGGCTCGTTGAAGTGCGGGTGCCGCGTGCCCAGCACGAGGCCCTGGATGGAAATGAGCACCTGGAGCAGCGACGACGCGTTCGGGTCCCAGCCGGGCCCCGGCCACGTGCCCAGCAAACTCAGGCACACCAAGCCGTCCGCGTAGAGGTTCGGGCCGAACTTGAGCGTGCCGCGCTTCGTCGTGAGGATGCGCACGCGCGGCGGCTTCGCCGGGTAGTCCGCCGGGCACTCGACCTCGAACTCGAAGCAGCCGTGCTCGTAGGGCGTCCGCGGCGGGCCCGTGATGAGCGCGCGCATGTAGAGCGGGCAGACCGCGTCGAAGCGCAGCAGCACGGACGACGCCGCGTGCACGGGCAGGTCCCGCGCGAGGCTCCGGAGCTCGCGCACGAGCCGCTTCGGCACGGCGCCGCCCGCGACGTCCTCCTTGTCCGCGGGGCGGAGGCCCTCGACGGCGGCGACGGTGTCGCACGCGAGCGCGGCCGCGTAGGCCGCGTCCTCGGCCCGCTCGTCGACGACGGGTTGTGGCTCGGGCTCGGGCGCCGGCGCCGGCGCCGCGGCCTCGCGCACGTCCACCGTCGCGCCGTGGAGGCCCGCCGCCGCGAGAGTGGTGTCGTCCGGCGGCAGCGCGCCGCGGCCCGCGACGACCAACGTCACGACGACGGCGCCGTCGGCGAGCTGCCGGTTCCGCTGGCGCGCGAGGTGGTCCGCGAGGGCCTTGACGGTCCAGGACGCGAGGAAGTCGCGCCGCGTCGCGGGCGCGCCGGAGCGACGTAAACTCACGGTCACCGTCGCGTGCGCCGCCGCCGCGGGCGCGGGAGCGGATTTGGGCGCGGCGCCGCCGCCGTCGGCCGCGGCGCTCGCGGCGAAGGCCGCGTCCTGCGCGTCGATCTCCTCGCCGACGGCGTCGCGCGGCCGCGGCGCGGCCGCGGCCTTGTTCCGCTTTTCGGCGCGCGCGGACGCGTCCTCGCGCCAGCGCCGCGCGGACGTCGCGCGCTCGGCGTCGGACGCGGCGCGCTCGCGGCGGATCTTCGCCTGGAGGGCCTTTTTCGCCTCGTCCTTCTTCGCGGCGACGCGCGCGGGCACGTCGACGGCGAAGAACGTCCGCGCGGCCGCCAGGTCCGCGCGCTTCGCCGTCAAAGCGGCGTCGGACAGCACGTAGTAGTCCTCGGCGCGCGTCGCCGGCGCGGCGATGGCGGGCGGCGGCGGCGCGGCGGCCGCGCGCATGGCCGCGGCCGCGCGCCGCGCCTCGTCGAGGCGGCTCAGCTCTTGCGCCTCGGCGAGCGTCGCGGCCTCGTCGTCGACCCCGATGGCGCCGGGCGTGGTGGCGAGCGTATCTAAAGCGCCGCCGAGGTCGCCGGCCGCGGACCGCAGGGCCGCGCGCGCCTTGGACCGCTTGTAGCCCATGGCCGCGAGCGCGTCGACGTGCTGCTCGAACGCGGCTTCCGCGACGGTCGGCGCGCCGGACGGGGCGTCGACCGCGGGCGTCGGCGCCGGCGGCGCCGGGGCCGGGGGCGCGCTCTCGACGACGAGGGCCTCGCGCTTGAAGCCCAGGGCCAGCAGCAGCTCGCGCCCGCCCTCGGCCGCGAGGAGAACCTTCTCGACGACCTTGGACCGGGCGCGCAGCTTGCGGAACTTCGGGTTCGGGTCGTCGAGGATTTTCTGCGTGATGGCGATGATCTTGGAAGTGAAGTCCTGCACCAGGAGCTCGCCGTTCGACTCGACGAGGTGCTCGCACGCGCTGATGACCCGAGGTGCTGCCATCGTACCTGCAGAAGGAGAGCGCTCCGCGCTCGAGCCCCACCGACCCCGGGGGTCAAGACCGACGAGTGGACCGCTCGACGACGTGCCCGTCGAGTCGCTCGTGGCGTCGCAGTTCATGCTGTGCCGCCAGCCTCACGCGAGCCTCGTCGAGCCATGGGCCGAGGCCTACGCCACCATCCTCGGGCGGTTCATGGCCGAGTGCCACCACGGCGAGGAGGATCGTCCGGCCAGGACCGTGACCACGTCTTGAGGCGGCCGCCGAGCGAGACGTCGAGGCAGCCCTCGGCCTTGAGGTAGGCGCTCAGCACGAAGATCATGCCGCGGGCCTTCTTGTCTTTGCAGCTGCCCCGGGCGGAGGTACAGCGCCACCTTCAACGGGTTAGGCCTCGGGTTGGCCTCAGGCTCGGGGATGACGATGCGCAGGTCGCGGACTTTCGCGATGTGCACGATGATGAGCCGAAACGCTGGCGCAAGATGCTTCAAACAATGGTCACGGTCCTGCGTTTTGGAGAACGAAAGGGGCAATTTTCAGAGGCCGACGATGAGATGTGGACCATCGTGAGGATACCGTGACCGGTGCCATCCGGCGCTCTCTCGAGGTTCGAGCGAACGTGTCGGCCCTCTTCTGCAGCTTCGCCGTCATTGGCCTGAATGTGAAGAAGACCCTCGTGGTGGGCCAGGAGTTCGACACGCACCACCGCGTCGATGCCGGTCAAGCCTGAGCGCGCGGCTCGCGCAGATGGCCATCATCGTCGGCGTCACCTTCAGCGGGTGGGCCAAGAGCGACGACTACGAGCACGGGTTCTGTTCTCGGACAACAGGAAGCTGGACCCCGGCTAGATGGGTGTTCGCGCCCGCGGCTCCTTAGACGAGGCGAGAGGCGCGCGCGGTCCGCGGTCGACCCTGTCCCTACTTCTTCGTCTGGTCCGCGGCCTTCACCGCGGCGATCTTCGCCTGGAAGGTCGGGTGGTCGTTGAACTTCTCGATGGCCGCCTGGAAGACGAGGTTCGAGAGGCCGTGCTTCTTGAGGACGACGCCGACCTTCTCCGACATCTTGAGCTGGCGCGTCTCGTTGAGCTGGGCCGTCGTCACCTGGGCGCCCTTGGCCTTGAGGGCGTGCAAATGCTCCGTGAAGGCCGCCTGGGCGGCGACGACGGCGCCCATGTAGTCCTCGAAGACGACGCACATCTTCTCGACCGTCAGGTCCTCGGGCAGGTCGAGCTCGACGGAGCCGCCGACGTTGATGTAGAGCTGGCGCAGCTGGTTCGTCGCCTCGCAGACGCCCTCGTCGCGGTTCGGGCCCGCGGCCTCGTAGTAGTCCACGGCCTCCTCGACCTCGTCCTCGTCGTACCCAAACTCCTTGAAGACGACCGCCTGGACCTCTTTGAGCTGCGTCTCGTAGTGCTCGACCAGATACTGGGCGAGCATGGCCTGCGGGATCTGCGCGTTCTGCGCGTTGATCTTCCGCATCAGCGTCGAGATGTTCTGGTTCATGATGCCGCTCAGCTTGTTGAAAATGGCGATGACCTCGTCGCGGCTGCAGCTCGGGATCTCCTCGACGTCGTCGTCGCCGTCGTCGGCCTTCGTCGCGTAGTACACGACGGCGGCCGCGGCGGCGGCGCCCGCGGCCAACAAGGCGCCGCGCTTCATGGCGCGCGGAGAAGCGTCGCTTCGCCGGCACACCAGGTCGTCGCAGAGGCGAGTGCACGCTTGCTGCTCGACGACTGCACTGTCGGCCCGGAGAGCCTACGCGATGGCGACCATATCTCGCGTGCTTCGGCACGCGCCGCCGCGGCTTCGCCATCAATACACAAAAACAACCGCCGCATCGAAAGCGACCCGTTTGCCGACGCGCCGGCTGAGCCAGAGCGCGAAACCGATCGCCACGCCGAGCGTGCGCTTCGTCGGCCGCCACCGCGCCGAGATCACCGCCGACGACGGCACGCGGACCGTGGACACGCGCACGCTGTCCCAGCGCGGCGACCTCGCGACGTGGCTCGCCTGCCGCCAGGCCCTCGACGCGACGGCGTCGGAGTTTTCGTGCGCGGCGTTCGACGCGAGCCCGTTCGCGTCGCGCGCGGCGCTGTTGGAATCGAAGGTCTTCCCCGCGCGGCGGAGTTTGCACGTCGACACGCCGGCGACGCGCTTCGGCCGCACCCAGGAGCCCGTCGCCGTCGCGCAGTACGCGGCGGAGCGCGGCCACGCCGTGTCGGCGACGGGCCTCTGGACCGACGAGTCCCTCGCGTTCGGCGCGTCGCCGGACGGTATTGTGGTCGACGGCGACACGGGCGAGACGGGCCTCCTCGAGGTGAAGTGCTACTACTCGCGGCGGCGCCAGCGCTTCTTCCCGCCGTTCGCGCGGCCGCCGGGCCGGTTTTTCGCGCAGATCCAGGGCGGCCTCGCGGTCTGCGACCTCGAGTGGTGCGACCTCGTGTGCTGGATCCCGAAGAACTCGCACCGGCAGAACTACTCCGTCGTCCGCGTGCACCGGGACCGCCAGTACTGGGAGCGGTGCCTCAAGCCGAAGCTCGACGCGTTCGCCGACGAACTGCGGCGGCGGCGCGGCGCTTTGTAAACAGAGCTAGGCGCCATCGCGCCGTGTTCGTAGACACAGTGATTACTACACGAGCTCGATGCCCCCGGGGTCGTCGTCGTCGTCCTCGACGCGCGTGAGCCGGTCGTCCCGGTCGAGCTGCAGGACCAGGGATTCGGGCTTGGGCCGCCGGAGGAACTCCCGCACGTTGGCCGCGCAGCCGCGGTCGTGGGGGTTGTCCTCGCCCGCGAAGACGCCGCGGATGTTCTCGTTCGTCGTCTCGTTCACGCCCACGAGCCGAAAGTGGTAGACGGCCAGCGAGCCCACGGAGAAGAAGACGACGACCGTGTACACGACCAACACCGCCAGCGCGATGGCCTTCCAGGGCGGCTCCTCGTCGTAGGAGTCGTCGTCGTTCTTCAAACCCGCGACGTTGAGCGACGCGACCCGCAGCGCCGACGCCGAGCCCACGACGACGCAGAGGCCCGTCACGGACACGAGGAACCCCACGAAGTACCGGTAGTTGCGCCGGCCGACGGCGTTGCCCACCCAGGGGCAGTAGTGGTCGAAGTCCTCGACGCAGTTCTCGGTCTGCCGGCACATCTTCGCGCGTTTTTCCCGGAGGTCCACCTTCTCGCCGTGGACGATGACGTGCGTCACGCGGCCCCGGCCGCGGCCGTTCGCGAGCGCGTCCGGCGGCGCCGGCGGCAGGATGCCCGGCTCCGTCACGAGCGCGAGCACGAGGTACCCCAGCGACAGAGCCAGCAGCGCGAACGCGAGCGCGACGAGCAAAAAATAGTCGCGCAGGGGCACGAGCGCCGCGAAGGCGCAGGTCGGCACCACGATGAGGCTCACGGACGCGCCGACGGCGTTGTTCTCGCTGTCGACGTGCGCGACGAGGCACCGGCCGCCGCAGCAGGGCCGGTGCCGGCCGTGCGACGTCGTGTAAAAACCCGCGCGCGCCATCGCCGACCGCTGGCGGCGCCGAGGTCGCGTTGCTCGCGCTGGCGCGACGGAGCGCGCGGCGCGTTCGCGTGCGCGGTGCTACGACGCGGCGGCGCGCGGCGGCGTCGGACGGCCTTTCAAGGTTTTGCCACAGGTTGAACGCTCCGCAAAAAGTCGAGCAGTCGAGCGCCATCGTCGTCACGCCGAAGGCGCCGTACACCCGCACCGAGCCGCGAAAATGGCCGCCTCCTACCGCGTCACGGCGCTGGACCTGCTACGCACCCAGGCGTCGTCGGAGGAGGACAACCGCAAGGCCGTCGCGCGCTACTACGGCGGCGCCCTGCTCCTCGCGCATGTCGTCGACGTCTGCTCCGCCGTGGGCCTCCTCGTCGCCTACACCGACGGCCACTGGCGCGCCCTCGTCGCGCCCCTCCTGCGCCTCGACTTCGCGTTCCGCAAGGAGCTCACGGACATGCTCGCGCTCGCTCTGCTCCGCGCGGTTTTGTTCCCGGCGCTGACCGTGCTCGCGGTCCGCTTCGGCCGCGCGCCCTACGCGAACGCCGCCTGCTGCGGCTGCGGCCGGAAGAAGGAGGGCTCGACTCGCGCGTCGGACGCGAGCGGCGGCGCCTACGTGGCCCTCGGCGGCCCGACGACGCCCGCGCGGGCGGCGGTCGGCGACGACAGCGACAACGCCGCGGAGATCTCCGCGCGGCTCGCCGACGAGGAGAACTCGGCGAACAAGGCCCTGGCCCAGTTCCGCAAGCACTGCTTCCTCGGCCTCATCTTCGTCTGCTCGACGTTCACCCAGGTCTACGTGGGCATGAAGGTCAACGCGTTCGAGTGGGGCCCCGACGACGCGACCGGGTTAGAGCGCCACTCGGAGGCGCGGGCCGAGGCGCGCCGGAAGACGCGCGTCGCGCAGATTCTATTGACGTGCAGCTCCGTGCTCTTCACCAACGTCATGGTCTACATCGCGCGGGAGCTCGTCAAGGAGTTGACAAGGGACGAGGGCCTGTTTCTCCCCAAGGTCCACGCGCACCCTTTAGTGTTCGACGCGGACCTCTGCCGCCACTGGTGCGACCTCTGCTCCACGCCCATCCGCCGCGGCGGCGCCTGGCGCTGCAAGCTCTGCGACTTCGACATGTGCGTGCCCTGCGCGTCGCGCAAGGACGCGGCGACGGTCGGCGAGAACGTGCTGCGATCCGACACGGGCGCGCGCGTCGAGTCCGACGTGTCGTCGTCGACGTACCTGCGGCGCGCCATCGGCCTCGCGTCGAAGCAGGCGCCGTTGTTAGCATTGGCCATGGCGCTCCTCGCGTCGAACTCGGGCCTGGCCCTGGCCCTCCCGAAGTACCAGGGCCGCATCATCGACCAGGTCGTCCGGGGCCAGCGGAAGGCGTTCACGCGCGCGGTCGCGACCTACCTCTACCTCATGATCGCCCAGGGCGTCTGCTCGGCCATGTACCGCGCGGCCTTCGCCGTCGTGTCGCGGACGATTTTGTACACGGTGCGCACGACGCTCTTCCGGAGCGTGATCCGGCAGGACACGGCGTTCTACGACGGCACGACGAGCGGCCACCTCACGAGCCGCCTGACGAACGACGCCCAGGTCATGATGGCGCCCATCGACGCGTCCCTGGCGTCCCTCCTCTACAACGTCATCATGCTCTTCGGCGGCATCACCATGTGCTTCACGACGTCCTACGCGCTGTCGATGCTCGCGTTCGTCGTCGTGGGCCCCATCATGTACCTCTGGGACATTTACGGGAACTGGTCGAAGAACCTGAGCCGCAAGGTGCTCAGCGCCTGGGCCGAGGCCAACGCCGTCGCCACGGAGGCGCTCGCGCACGTCCGCACGGTCAAGGCGTTCGTCACGGAGCGGTCCGAGACGGCCAAGTACGAGGACGCGTGCGGCGAGGCGCTTAGGTTGGGCATCCGCGACGCCATGGGCTTCGGCGTGACGTCGGCGCTGACGGGCTACCTGGACCTGGGCACGGGCGTGCTGATCCTATGGTACGGCGGCCTCATCGTGCTCAATAAATCGGAGGGTTTGACGATCGGCGAGCTCGTCACGTTCCAGCTCTACTGGACCATGATGAACTCGTCGTACCAAAATCTCCAGGGCCTCGTGACGTCGTTCACGCGGTCCGCGGCCGCGGCGGAGAAGGTCTTCTCCCTCATCGACTCGCTGCCGGACATCAACGAGGACGACGGCGCGGCCATCGACTGGGACGTGCAGGGGTCGTTGGTCTTGGAGAGCGTCGAGTTCCACTACGTCATGCGGCCCGACGCGAAGGTGCTGTCCGGCGTGGACCTCGGCATCGACGCCAAGTCCGTCTGCGCGCTGGTGGGCCGCTCGGGCGGCGGCAAGTCGACGATCATCTCGCTGTTGATGCGGTTCTACGACGTTCGCGCGGGTTCTCTTAAACTCGACGGCCGCGACGTCCGGGGCCTCAACGTGCGCGACTACCGCCAGCTCTTCGGCATCGTCGCCCAGGACACGCCCCTCTTCGCGCGGTCCATCCTGAAGAACGTCGCCTACGGCTACGCGGACACGGACGATCGCTCGAAGGACCTCGACAAGGACCCCGCGCTCGCCGCGGCGGTCGTCGCCGCGGCCAAGGAGGCCCACGCCCACGACTTCATCGCCGACATGAAGGACGGCTACGCCACGCGCGTCGGCGAGCGCGGCGGCCGCCTCTCGGGCGGCCAGCGCCAGCGCGTCGCGATCTCGCGCATCTTCCTCCGCGAGCCGCGCATCATCCTCCTCGACGAGGCGACGTCCGCGCTCGACGAGGACTCGCAGGCCGCGGTGCAGAAGTCGCTGGACGCGCTCATCAAGCGCGGCGGCTCGACGGTCGTCCTCGTCGCGCACCGGCTCTCGACGGTGATGAACGCGGACAAGATCTGCGTCGTCGACGGCGGCCGCGTCGCCGAGTCGGGCACGCACGAGGGCCTCATCGACCAGAAGGGCATCTACGCGTCGCTCGTGAAGAAGCAGATCTCCAAGAGCGCCGCGGTCCTGGACCAGGGCAAGGCCGAGGACAGCAAGGAGAAGGCCGCGGAGGCCGACACCATTGACAAGCTCCTCGGCGCGACGGCGAAGTAGTAGTAATTACACGAGCGCCTCCTCGGTCTGCACCGACGGGTTCGCGCCCTCGAAGGTCGAGCTCGCGCGCGGGAGCTCGAAGCTCCCGACCGTCGACGACGTCGAGCTCGCGCGCGCGAGCTCGAAGCTCTCGACCGTCGACGACCGCGCCGGCAGCGGCTTCGCCGACGCCCGGTCCGGCGCGGACGGCTCGAGCCGCCGGGGCGCCGCGGGCATGGCCGCGGGCATGGCGAAGGTCGCGCGGTCGTCGCTCGCGTCGCTGCGCGGCCACCACCAGGTCGCGGCGCGGTCGTCGCTCGCGCCGCTGCGCCGCCACCACCGGCGCCAGCGCGGGTCCGCGTCCGACGCCGCGGCCTCGCGGACCGCGGCCGCGAGGCTCTTCTGCGAGTCCCAGGAGTCCCGCTGCAAAGTCCCCGCGACGCCGAAGAGCCAGGACCCGACGAAGTCGATTCGGAGCGTGTAGAGCGTGCCGCACGAGTTGACGAAGATGTCGACGGGCGTGAAGAAGGTCGCGAAGCTGATGCCGCCGCCCGTGTTCGCCGGGTTGAAGTAGGGCTCGAGCGTCGCGCCGAGGATGAAGAGCCCCGTGGACGCGCAGCACAGGGACACGCCGGCGCGGTTCCGCCGCACCGTCGCCGCGAGGCGCTCGCCGTCGTCGCGCTGGTCCGCGTGGCGCAGCGTCTCCTTGATCGGGGCGAGGAAGAGCCGCAGCATGGTCACGGAGAGCGCGAGGAGGAGCGCGTAGGACACGACGACCAAGACGTAGAACGCGGGCGCCCTCTCGAAGGAGCACTTGCCGCCGTCGTGCGCTCCCCGGAACACGGCGACGCAGGCGAGCTGCGTGAGCCCGAAGACGGCGATGGACCAGCGCATGAGCCGCGCCTTCGTCGAGTAGTCGTCCTCGCGCATGCGGCTCAGCCGCAGCTTCGTCTCGAAGAAGCAGAAGAGCGCGAGGAAGCCCAGCGTGTAGCAGCCGTACATGGCCGGGAGGTAGTAGCGGCACGCCGTCGCGCCCAGCGCCCACCAGCGCCGCCCGCCTCGACCGTAGAAGAGGCCGCCCCAGGTGACGGCCAGGACGACCTCGCAGAACCAGAAGCCGTGGAGCGCGACGAGATAGCGCGCGAGGCGCGTCGTGAGCCGCGCGGACCGGCCCCGGCCGCGCGCGGCGCGGTTCCGAACGTGCAGCGCGCGGTAGTGGCGCACGACGCGCACGACGTGGGTCGCGATGGTGACGAAGACGATGGCGTTGAGGGACCCGAGGACGATCGCTTGGGCGGTCGTCGGCCGGTAGGGCGCCTCCTCGGCCTCGGGCGGCGGGTGGTGGTGGTGTTTGTCGGGCTGCGGCTGCAGCGGCGCCATGCTTATGGAACGCGGTGTTGGGCTGCATCGGTGATGGAAAGCTCCATGGCCACGCTCTCTCCAGCCTATACAAACAGCACGATTCACTCCTCTTGCCGCTCGCTAATTCTTTGCCTCAGGCCTGAGAGCTGCAGTAGCGCTTGGCTGCGGTGGTGCGCGCTGCCGCGGCGCGTCGCTTCTAGAACCCTCAGCGCCCGAAAGTAGTGCGCGCTGCCGCGGGGTGTCTCGCCGACGCCCGCTCCGCGCAGCACAGCTCAAATTTGCGTCTCCGGTCGCGCAGCACAAAGTTTGCGTCGAACAACGCTCGTCGCCACTCGACAGACACGGTCGCCGATACGACGACGCACGAAACGGCACCCCCCAGCGACGACCCGGACCATGGACGGCGACTGCTGCGACGCGACGAAGGCGGCCTTCGACGCCTGCATCCAGCGGAAGTCGACGTCGCTCGACGGCGTCAAGTACTTCGCGTCCGGGGTGCTCGTGGGCACGTCGCTCACGGTGCTCATCCCGAAGACGTTCCCGCTCTTCCAGCGCCAGCTCCCGCGCGTCCGCGGCGTCGAATCCAGATTCGTCTTTCCCGGACAGTATCCGCGCAGGTTCCTCGTCCTCGGCGTCGGCGGCATCTTCATGGACCAGTTCCACGTGAACAGCGCCTGCACGATAGAGAGCGGCGCGCCGCGATGACTCCCTTCTAGGCCCCTACTTCGCCGTCGCGCCCGGGAGGACGAAGTTGTCCTTGACGGTGCCGAACGTGGGCGTGGACTTGAGGTAGGCGTACATGTCCTGCTCCTCCTGGCGGCTGAGGAGCGCCTCCTGCTCGGCGAGCTGGCGCTGGAGGTTGAGCTGGGCCCGCCGGTTCTCCGCCTCGCGCCGCTCCTCGGCTTCGCGCGCCTCGTCCTCGCCCGACGGCGGCGGCGGCGGCGGCGGCTCCGACGGCTCCGGCGACGCCGGCGGCTCCGGCGCCGCGCCGTCGTCCGCGGGCGCCACGACGAGGAACTTCTCCAGTTCCATCCAGAGCTTCTCGTTCTCGGCCTCGGCCTTGGTGGCGCGGTTGTAGAGGTAGAGCTCGAGCGGCGTCATGGCCCCGGCCGCGAACTTCTCCTTGGCCTGCGCCGAGAACGTCGCCTCGTCCATGGCGGCGGCTCGCGGCGCCGGCGGCGTCGCGCGTTTCGGGCGCGCCTTCCGCGCGTCGGAGCTGCGCTAGGGGACCGCTTCCACCTCGCGACGCGGGGCAGCCTCTCAATCGAGCGTGCAAACGATACTTAGTTGATGGTGCCGTGCAGACGAAACGCACAAAGGAAACGATGTGTTGGTGGGCCGGCGCGTCGTAGGCGTGTGCTGCTGCGCGGCGCGGTGTCCGCCGCTCCATCGACGATGGCGGAGAAGCCCTTCGACATCAAGAAGACGGTGACGCGCCTCAAGACCGTCGGCGGCGCCGTCATGCACGTCACGGCCGCGGCGCCGCGGCGCGACAAGCTCGTGCGCTGCGTGCTCAAGTACCGGAAGAAGGGCGCCGAGGAGGCCAAGGAGTACGAGCTCGAGACCGTCGGCGACCACACGACCTGGGAGAAGCTCAGCGAGCGCGTCATCGCCGCGCTCTGGCCGAACCGGCGCGACACGCAGAACACGGTCGCGATGCTCGAGTTCGCGCCGCTCGCGCCGCCGGGCGCCGAGGTCGAGGTCGTCTACATCCTGGACACGCCGACGCTCATGCGCGCGCTCCAGGCGTTTCGGGACACCTACGAGCTGCGCAAGTCCGCGGCCATCGACAAGATCATCGCCGAGGTCGAGGGGTTGATGCGGTCGGGCGACCCGGAGGCCATCGCGCGGGGCGCGCGCATGATCCAGGCGCTCATGCAGACGTCGCTGGACCCGGAGACCCACGCGAAGCTGCTCGGCCTGCTGACGGAGGGCCTGGAGAAGCAGAAGGACCACGAGAACGGCGCGCGCGACGCGCTGGAGCTCGCCGCGGTCGCGTTCGTGAAGACGGGCGTCAAGACGCACAGGACGAAGGACCTCATGTTCGGCAAGAACCCCATGAACGTCATCCACGCGCTCCTGGGCCGCTTCGGCAAGAAGCACGACGACAAGGACCGGCCCTGGTCGCAGAAGGACGACGGCGAGCCCGGCGACGAGGTCGAGCTCTCGACGAACAGCGTCTGCGCGCTCGCCGCCGTCGCCAACGACAAGAGCGGCGCCTACAACCTGCTCAAGCCCGATTCCTTGATCTCCATCCTCAAGAAGATGCTCGACGAGAAGGACGACGACTTGGCGGGCAAGTGCGCGGGCGCGCTGTGCACGGCCGTCGTGCGCCATCCGGGCGCCGTCGAGACCTGGGGCCTCACGGGCCACGTCGTTCAATTATTGTCGAAGCTCATGCGGTCGTCCAAGTCCTGGGAGGTGCGCCGCTGCGCGGCGACCATGCTCGGCGCCGCGGCGCGGAAGCTGAGGCGCATCGTGGCGGACTACGCCAAAAAGGGCCTCCCCGTCGACGAGCGGTCCCACTTCACGATCCCGTCCCTCGTTTCCAACGACGCCGACAGCGAGGACGGCTCCGACTACGACGACGTCGCCGAGGAGGACGAGGAGGACGAGGACTTTAACGCGTTCCTCAAAGCGAACCCGAAAACCCCCAAAATCGACATCCCCGTCAAGTGCTCGACGCACTGGGCCGAGCTCCTGCGCCAGCCCGAGGTCTTCCTGTCGGCCCTGACCTGCATGAAGGCCGCGACGGAGGTATTGTTGCCGGACTGCACGACGCTGGGCGTCGTCCAGCGGCACGCCGACGACGACTCGTTATCGCAGCTCGGCGGCGGGCCGAGCGAGCCCGAGCGGCGCAAGATCACGGTGCTCGAGACGTCCGTCGACGACACGGTTTCAGCCATCGACGAGATGGCGCGGCGCAACCGGGTCGGCGGCACCGCGCGCGCGTCGCGCGTGTCGCCCGACCGGTCGCCGAAGGGCACCCGCCGGTCGACGCGGCGCGCGCCGAACCCGGGCAAGACGCCCGACGAGGTGCGGAGCTCCATGTCGAACATCCGCGCGTCGGCGCGCGCCACGCAGCGGACGACGGCGAGCATGCGCAAGAGCCGGGCCACGGGCCGCGTGCTGTCGACGTCGCGCGGACTCGGGAAACAGAACCTCCGCAACTCGGGCACGCGGCGCACTACCGTGCGCCAGACCGTGGCCAAGGGCACGGTGTCGAACATGACCGTCGAGTCGACGGTGGAGCTGAGCGGTTTTCTACTGTGGGCCGTGGCCGCGACGCTGCGCGGCGACGAGGCGTGGGTGAAGATGTCGACGGTGCGCGCGCTCCTCGCGCTCACGCTCTACCCGCTGAGCCCGCCGGCGATCCGCTGCGCGACGCTCCACAGCTGCGCGGCGCTCGAGCGCCTCTGCATCCACAAGACCTTCGCGCGCCTCATCGCGAAGCAGGCGGGCATCGTCGACGTGCTCCGCATGCTTTTAGAGCGCGACGCGCTGCCGAACGTGCAGTGCTGGGCGCTGCGCATCCTCCAGGCCGTGCTCGAGGCGTCGAAGCACGTGCGCGACGTGCTCGTCATCGACAACTTCCGCACGGTCCTGGCGAACCGCATGCTCGAGCGCAAGGGCGCGCTCAAGGCGGAGTTCGTGACGCT